ACATGAGATACCAAGCTTGAACCTTTAATACAAGGTTGCTTGATGGATTAAGGATGAATTCGAAGCTTAAAAAAAGTATGAAATGGCTCAAAGGGCTCACCTTTAGTTATTACACTTGGAGAAGAATGAGGAGAAGGAAATGAGAAAGGATGAAATGAAGAAGAGAAGAAGATCAAATGAGACATAATAGCTCTCATATTTTTTAAAATGGGAAAATTATACTATTGGTCCCTCCTCATCTTTTCATCGTGCAAAAACCCCCTTTTGATCAAATGGGCCACCCAATTCACAATTCACAATTCACAACCAACTAAGCCCACACTCAGCCCAACAACTTAAAATATGAACTCCATGAGGTCTACATACTTCTTGGATAAACCCGAAACTACTAGGCTAGAATTTGGGGTGTTACGGTTAGTTTAGTAGAAAAAAAATTGAAATGAAAGAAACACTTATCTCCAGCTTTGTGTATTTTGCTTAACTACAAGCATAATTATTAATGTGCACATGCCTTACAAGTCATTTTAATGTATAACTCCATGTATTTTGTTCAACAACTCTAAAGCCATAGTATTAATTAAATGGGTGGTAACATAGCTTATAAAATGGTTCTTAAAACAAAGTAGACATAGCATTAATAGTAAAGACTTTTAAATATTACTATTAATATGATAATATCGCTACCGTAAACAACAGATCTTGAGCTGACTATATTCTATGAACATTTGGCTTATGACAAGATCCTACTCGATCAGATCATATATTTTATTTCAAAAATTTAGGTTCAAATTAAATCAAGTTGATTGTTTTAAGAATTGAGTTGAGTCGAGTAAGTTCAAGTTTGAATTTAAGGCAAAAAATCTGACTTAACCCGATATAATATTAAAGTTATTTCTTATCCGATTGAGTTGGATATGGTTTTAATCTTAAAAATTAGGTCAAATTTCAAGTCGAATAGGACCTTTCTAAATATGGGTTACATCAAATACAGATAAAAAATATTTATTTTTTAAATTAAATATAGGTGAGTAAAAAATATTATCCAATCCAACTCATAGCCATACCTATATGTAATTGCTTTGCTCCTGGCTTAGTACATCCTCCCATACACAGGGATTAGGTTCCATGCAGCTTCATAAGTTATTATCACCTTCATTTATAGAAAACACGCTTAACATCTATTTAGAAAACTTAAATAGTCTTATAATCGTTTATATCGTAGTTATAAAAAGTAAAAATAATTTATTTAAAAAAATAAATTCAAGCAATTTACTTTTTTTTATTGTCACTTTTTCAATGACAAGTTAAATAATAAAAGTTAGCCATAAAATTTCATCCGTATAGATAATATGAATAGTAATTTTTTAACTTAGATAATGAGCTTTGTTTTTATCCAACAAATATAAATATTCATTCAATTTATAACCATAAATCAAGATATTGATTCACAAAGAATGAAACACTAAATATTAACGTTAATAAGCCGCTTTTTTACTCCTCATCTCTTTTCTTCCTTTTTCTTCTTCACAATTTGTGTCAATTTTACTTATCAATCCAACTTTTTCTTCTCTAATTTTGTTTAACCGGCAGCGACATCGGTTTTGATGTTGGTTGCCGCCCACCGATTATATTTTTTTTTTAGTTTTTAATAAGAATAATTATTTCTTTGTGACATGTTCTCTTCCTTTAATGCACATTTATCTCTGCCTTTATGTCACATTTTTCTCTTCCTTTTGGTAGTTTATGGTTTTTGCCATTATTTTCATTTATCTTTTTTTCTCAGGGTTGGATTTGATATCGCCATGACTGATCAAGATATCACTTATTTGTTATCATGCTGATCTCCCCTATTTTGGACCCTCAAATTGATTTGGATACACGTTTTGTGTTGGTAGATAGTTTTCTCACGTCCGTTGACTTTGATTTGTGATTTGTGATTTGTCAATGGAATTCAGTAGCTTCATTCCCTTTTGTGGCTCGTTTGCCAATGTAATCAAATTTGTTCATAACTTTATTTTGTTCGATCATTGATTAGATTTTTTAATATTTTCTTTTCTCTTTTTGGTCCTTGTGTGATCTAGGTAGCTAGTTTTTGGGCCAATAGTTATAAGAAAATGTCCTAATTATAGTTTAGTTAACGTTTACGATTATGCTTGTAATTCTTCATTGTAAGTCTGGATATTTTATATTTTTAATAAAACTAGCGGCTTTTTATCGAAAAAATATTAACGTTAATATTTTTTAAATTCAAATACCACATCAAAATATTAGAATTAAAAAAATATTAAGAAAAAATTAATATAAAAATAAAAAATTTATTCTCAATAATTTGAGATGACGAGACTATGATGTCACTTGATAGAATCATAAATAAACTTATATAGATTAAATATATGAAGATCTTCTATACCAAATATCAAGAACACAAATACTAGATGCAGAAGTATTTTTTTTTATTAATCTGAGTAAGTAAAAGGCAGTATCTGTTCAAAGATAACTCTCATCAATATGAAATTGAATGCTCACACCCTTATCATTTAGTGGCGGATGCACTAAGCCCCCATAGGGGCCAAGTGCATCCCCATTATTTTGGAAAAATGTTTAAATTTAGCTTAATGAGTTAAGAAAAAAATAAAAAATTACAATTTTTGCACACCCCATTATTTTTAAGAAAAGAAAATTAAATTTTTAGACCCCCATTATTAAATTTCTAGATCCGCCATTGTTATCATTCCTGGTGCTCAAACCTAGAACCTCAAGAAATAATAACAATTCTTTTACTACCAAAATCGCTAGATTCATACTGCATAAATATACTTGAATTCATTGATACATTAAAATTCTTAAGTTATTTTTTGTTTTGATCTTCCAAAAAAATTAGATTTCCTCTTCTTGTTAATCTCTTTAATGGTGTGGGGAGAAACACAAGTTATAACATATATCATGGGGATCACCCTTCTGTATTTAATCGATTATTAAATCAATTTTAAGTATTTATAATTTTGTCTCTCATCAAATTATAAATGCAACTTATGATATCTATATTTTATTTACATGGAGCTTTAAACATATGATACATGCAACATAATTGATCATTTAATTTTAAATACAACTTATGATCCACACTCTATTTTTATTACACTTTAAATTCATATTGTTACAAATATAACAATCTGAGACCAAAACTAAAAAAGAAAAATAGAATTTTATTAATAAATAAAAAGTATAGTTTAGAAAAAAAACTAGAATGACGACAGATTAACGATCTGAAAACTAGTTGAGGTCTGTAACTACACAATTTCCTTAAATTTTTGCCACTCTTTGATGCTCGAGATCTATGGTCGTCTGTCTCCCAAGATGAAATAATGAGATGATCAGCGTATAATAGCAAAACTATAGAGATCACGAACTATATCTTGCCTGAGGCTATCACCAAAAACTAGAGAAGAAGAAAAAAGTCTTTGAGTTGTGTTTAACCCTGGGAAAAGAATTAAAAAATATATTCTGAAAAGTAATGTCATTAACAAGAATCCGAATAAATTCGGAAGTAATCAAATAATAAAATATATCCCGAAAAGTAGAGTCATTAATGTGTATCTGAATAAATTCGAAAGTAATCAGTTAATACCGCATTTAAAAGAATATATTCTTGAACTACAAGACATATCATATTAATATTTGAATTAAATGAAATCATATAATGAATTTTTAATTCAAAATATTCAAAAAAAATATTTCAGATTTAAAGAATTTATTAATTCATAGATTGACAAGATTGGATTTGCATCACTTCGCACTGACACGAAAAGTACAATCTCAACATAAGTCATTCAATAATTAATAAGTGAGTTAGTGTATTTAAACTAGATGTATGTTATTTTAAGTATCAATTTCTCATTCATCACACAATTCTCATTTATCACCGTAGGATATGAGTTTTTTCATTTTTTTTACATAACACAATTCAGATGTATCTTATTTTAAGCATCAATTTTACATTCATCACTCAACCGTTTTGAACATTCATGAAGTAGAATATGAATCACTAAATTCATTATTCGATTCTCCACCTTTACCCTTAGAAAATATGTCACAAAATTTCTAGTTTATTACATTTTTCGAACACATGACATATGTAACATAAATGGTCATTTAATTTTGTATTATATTTTATAATGATAATATACAGTAACAAAGAAAATATTATAACATAATATATATATATTTAAAAATATAATAATAACTAAAATTTATATGAATACGCATTTCTTTAAAAAATAAATTTATACAGAAAAACATCACCCAAAATACACCACAAATTTAAGGTTTTTAAAGAGATTTTTCACTGGACTGTAATCAAAAATTTTTAACATGGGATGGGCAAGCCTAGACCTGCATTGCTCTTGTCATATATATATATATATATATATATATATATATTTGAAAAATAAATAACATTCCAAGCATTAGATTATTGGATTTTTTGTTTAAAAAAGATTATTGAATTTTGAAATATATTTGTACCAAGTTTTTAATTTATATGATATTCGTACATTAATGATATAAATTTTTTTTTGGAAGATAATGCATATTGAACATTTTTAGTTATTCAAAACTTAATAAGTATTGTTTAGATAAAAAAAAATTGATGTAAATAATACAAATCTGAATGTAATAGTGTGTGAATGTGAATTCAAGAAAACAGAATCTTTAACTTTTCCCTACAATATCTCAACACCTTTTTCTTTTCTCTCCAACGAAATCCGTAGGTTAAGCATAAAATGGAACGAGGTAAAAACTTGACACACACACACACACACACAGAACTATCCCAAAAATATTTTCATAAAAAACATAGTAGGCCTTGGTACCTTGTCATGCACTCACCACTACTTTACTAGCTCAGCTATAAGTTTGTTTGAAGCAATATTTAAGCAAAGTCTCTATCTTTCCTTTCAAGTCTTCAATGGCGGATAAAGCCAATCCTACACCAATGGAGGATGAAGACAACTAATCAGTTCAGGGTTCCAAGAAGAACATCTTGAAGCTTTTACGAGTGAAACACGTGACGAGCATCTTATCTTTGGGGTCATTCATTTTGTCTCTTCCAATTCTCGCCTCCGTCACCTGGTTGCTGTACAGTGGCTCATCAAGTTGCCCCGTGCAGATCGGGATCAGTATCGGGCTGATCTTCGTCTTCTTGATTTGCAATGGCGCGCTCTTCTTGAGAACCCGGTTGCCCATGGTGGGGATCATTGTCAATTCGACGACGATGGTTGGAACAACATCAAAGGCTGCATTTATTGCGTTCATGTCTGCCAAGATTTAGCCGCCTCAATCGGACCGGTCAATTCATACGATTTCGACAAGAAGAAATTATCACCTGCGGAGGTACATAATCAGTTTTACTTAATATAGCTAACATAATTAACACTAATTATCATGTATTGACGTGTCATTTTTTTTTTTGAAAGACGGGCGTTGCATACCACGGAAGAGTGCCACATGCAATATGTAAATATTACTTTCTGGCAAAAAAATGATAATGGAACGATTCATCGGGATATGCCGATTGTGATGCATGGAATAACGAAAGGGACGTTTTGTGCTACAATTGCCGGAGCTGTAAAGAAGGTACATCTAAGCATTGCAGAACAAATGGTCAAAGCTTGGGGATATTTTTAATTTCCATGGCGGTGTTTCTTATCGCTTCTCATCTGACTCTATGCCTTGCAACAATGTGGGAACTCCGCTGTACATCTTTACTCATTTTGGTTTTGGTCTTTGATCCTTAGGGTTTTATTTGGTTAAATAACTTTGTTTTTAATGCTATCCATTTCTTAAGTTCTAGAGCAATGTAGTCAATGCTTTGATTTCTTTTCAGAATTTTACTTTTAGACTTACCTATTTTGTTTCGATTCTGATAGATATCGATATTCGTATGGTTTTGGTGTATGCTTTTAGGTTATAATATTACATTACCCATATTTTGTTAATTTTTTTACGATGGTAACTAAATTTTATTAATAAAAAATAAAAAAAAAATCAAAACTAGAACACAAATAAACATAGAAGAAAAATAGGGACAATAGTCTTAAAAGAACTTGTAAAAACAAAAATATTAAACCCAAAGACAATATTATCTTAAGAATGAAGATCAACATTAAAAGAACTGGTCTTTGTGTGAGCACGGAAAAACTACGAAGGTATGCGTAAAATGACAAAAAGCATAAGGATCATGCTAGAAAAGCATGCCATAAGGATAAACATTCTTATTCAAAATTGATAAAAATTCAAGAAAAGAAAAAACAAAGGACATATTAAAAAAAAATAAGAGCAATAATAATTATTGGGTGGTCAACAACTAATATTAAATTGTTGTCACCCTGACTAAACAAAAATTGAAGGAAAAAAAAAGAATGAAGACACAAAAATATTGAAGTAATTATTAAATAATTTAAATATTATTTATTTATTTAATAATATATTATTTATTTTATATTCTATTAAATAATTTTAAATATTTTATTATAATATATTGTTTATTTTAAAAATGGAATCATTTAAATTATAATAAAATTTTCCAATGTAAAAAAGAAACAACATAGTTTAAACTAAACGAGCGTTGGTCTGTTTTCTAGCCCGTACCTTTTCTTCATCGATTAGATCTCATTTCCTCTTTTGGTTGAGTAAACGAATGAAGTCCAATGTTAGAAAAAAACATCGCGCATTAATCCGATAATGATATATAAAAATAATAATGAATAAATATTATTATAAAATTAAAGATATAGAACGAGCATGGTTTTCAGAACCGGATCGGTTAGTGTATCGGTCATGCTATCGGTTCACTGGTTCAACCGGTCGAACCGGTCCGACCGGTCGGAAGAATCGGACGACGTCATAATTATTTAAAAAATTAAATAAAAATACCAAAAATATTTAATAAAAAATAAATTTTTATATCACAATTCATATTCAAAGCAAGTCATAAGATATATAAGTTAAAAACCATAAAATCAAGTGAAACAAAATGATTCAAATTAACTACAACATAATATTTAAGGTAAAACATATTAAATAATAAATATAATTATATAACTATAATTAAAAAATTAAATTTGGGGCTAAAAAAATCATAACAAAATGATATTGTTTGCTATAATTTTTAAAAAAAAAACAATCCCACATGGCTAAGAAACATAGAAGATCATCCAAACTAACATCTATAAATAATAGAGGTAATTTGACATTCAAAATCATGGAGCCTTTTGGTAAGCATTGAGTGAACTATTCTTTCACTTCAATCAAGCTCGAATTTTAGGCTTCAATCGAGCTTCTAATTTTTTTTTGAGTTCAAGCTTTTTCGAGTTCAAGTTTCAATATTATATTTCAAGTTCGAGTTAAACTTCATAATTTTTAGCTCGTGAGTTTGAATCGAGTTGAACTTACTTTTAAATTTTTCAAGTTCGAGTCGAGCTCAGCAATACTCGAGTTCAACTTGGCTCGTTTAATAAATGACGTCGTTTGGTTTGTTTTTTTTAAAAAAAACCAAAATTGGCGGTTTTTTTCTGTCCGGTTTGAACGGTTCAACGGTTCCGGTCGGTTCACTAGTAGCGGTTCAACCGGTCTAGATTGAACCGGACTAGACAACGGTTCCCGGTTGAACTGGTTGAACCGACCGGTCCGGTCTGGTTTTCAAAACAATGAGAACGAGTGTATTGTATTAAGATTGTTGACAGATGTAACAATCTAAGACGAAATCGAACCTAAGAAAATCAAATAAAAGTTAAACTTCATAAAGTAAATCAAAATTAAATAGAAAGAAAATACTCTTTTTATTTTGATAAATTGAGATCAGAATAAGTTGAGACATATCGCTACACAGTTTCCTTAAGATATTTTCGGTCACTCCTTTGGTGCTCGAGTTCGTTGGTTGTCTGTCTCCCAAGATACAACAACTTATGATCAGTTACAGTAGCACATATGTAGAGATCACGAACGATCCTTGCCTTTGACTATAACCGGAAAACTATGAAGAAAAATAATATTTTCTAAGGAGATAAAATATTTTTCAAGAGAAGAAAAGTTCTTGAATTTTGAGTTGTTTGAACTAGTCTTTAACCTAGCAGGTTAACTCACTATTTATAGTATATTTTTTAGATAGATTTAATTCAACCAGATATATTTTAGTATTCAACATTGAACATATAATAATATATTTTAATTTGAAATATTCAAAAGATAAAACTTCTTTTACCATTCAAACTTAAATAGATATAATTTTAATTTGAAATATACAAAAGTGTATAATTATGTTTAATATTCGAAGTTAAAAATATAACAAATACCTTTTCAAATTGACATATTCAAAGAGTAACTATCTTACTAATATTCAAATTAAATAATATATTTAATTTACAATAGTTAAAAGGAATATGAATTTAATATAAATATTAAATCCATCAATTAAATTCACTCTTTTTCCAACAATCCCCCACATGAATGAAATTGACGATTTAATTATAAAAAAAATTGACACGATGTAGTGATAGCCTCTAGGATTGATAGTTGCATAGGATAGGTAGGTGTCTTCCTTTGAACCTTCCATTGTGACAATATATTTACTTTACTTGCTAAACAGTAGATGTGATGTCCTTGAATTGTTATGTTGTTTGTGTAAACGATGACATACTTCACACAACTATCCATCTTACAAGAATTTAGTTCTCTTGGGGTATGTACTTAAAGCCATGTACATCTGCCTGGTTCAACAATAGTTTGAAAGAACTATGCCCAATAGTCTCCTTGAAGCGACCCCACTTCACTCTCACATAAGTGACTTATGTTGTTCGACTCACCACAACATAGAATAATGGTCATTAAAAGCTTTTTACTTAGCCTATATTGCTTTGATCACTGTTTACATCATACGAACGGACTTGGGATATAAAACCCCCTACAGTGACCATAAACGTGTTATGCAATTAGGTTGTCACTTTGAACCTAGATCTTGGTGACAATTGTCGTTTTGATGTCAAAATAAATTCATTCTTCTCAATTAATAAATAAAGCAAAATACATAGTAAAGAGAAGTAAGAGTCGATCCTCAAGGACTTAAAAAATTCCAAATTTTTGTTTGAATGGTTTAAACCAGGCGATAAGTAGTAAAAAAGAGTTTTGGTAAAAAGAAATTAAATAATAAAAAGAGATTTAAAGAAAAATAAAGAAAATAAAAATTGAACGTTGAAAATGAATATGGTAAAACAACCTCAAGCCTCGCTTTGACTCAATTTCCTTCGAATCTTCAAATTAGATTTTCCCTTCGGGATTCACGTCGGTTACTTTATCTACAAGGGCAATCCTTGTAACTCTATTTTGTATACCGAATACCCAAGGCAATATTTGATTCCAGCTTCGGAAATTGATATGATAAACATCAATTGTCGTAGATCAATAACCGTTTAGGTTCGTGAAGACCGACTCGGATTGTAGTTTCAATAATTACTAATTTCGATCTCAATTCCCTCTTGGCAAGGCTATCTTGCCAAGTGTGTTCCCAGGAAGTCGAATGTGCTTTCAATAAGTTGATCCTTCCTCCCACACATTTAATAGCAACAACATCTTGACCAAAGTCAATCTCGGATTTTGAAAACTGTGTTGATTTTGAAAAATAACCGCCTAGATTAAGAGAGATATTCCAAAGTTATTTAAGGTGCTTTTCAATTATCACGTTTGAATTGAGTCATTGCTTCAGCTCTCGACTTATGAGAAAATTAGCTAAGCATAACAAAAGTCATACTTAGCATTTTTAAAAACATAACTTAAAATAAGAGAAAAGTGAAAACTTGAAAAATAAAAGAGATAACTTTTATAAAACTAGAAAGGAGAAGAAGAATAAATTCTGAGTTCTGTCTTTAGGCTTACCCCAAGAGGGTATTTATAGCCTCTAAAAACCTAGAGATAAACAAAGAAATTAAAATAAAAATAATCCTAAAGATAATTCCAAATGTTTTCTAAATTCAAACTTTAAAATTTAAAAATAAGTCTCCTAATATAACTCTGCCCGTTCACCTTCCATAAGGCACGTACTAGATCTTCTAGAAAACTACTGCTGACTGAACCTTCTAGAATCTGTCACATCATGTCATGCCCATAGTCATGCCCATGTCTCCATCCGTGACCAAATAATAAAAAAGGTAGAATGCACCCTTTTACTATTAAATCTGGAAAGAATACCCTGCATGAAAAGAAACATAACACAACCAAATCAGAAGTAATAAATCCATAAGGTCGAAGATTTAACAAGCAAATAATATCGATTCAGAACACTCATCATATTCCCCACTTATCTCATACTTGTCCTCAAGTATGATATAATCAAATCAGTCAAAAATTTAATTTACCTTTAATTGTCAAGTTTCACATTCAAGGAAGTAAAATAGAGACCACAATAATTATTTAAGTCGAGACACCAATCAATTGAACATACCAATTGGAACAAGTTAAATGCAATTGTAACATCCATTCATTCATTAATCTCAATACCCATAATTCAACACCTTACTGGGATTCACTCAAACCACTCAATGTGTTTGGGGCATAGAAATGATGTCACAACCGACACAATATTATCATAAGCCTGCAAGTAAATCAAATCTCCACTACTAATAAGACAAGATGCATAAATCAGGGTATTTTATTGATTGTAAGGGGGCTTAGGTAAAGGTGGGGAAAAAGGCTAATAATATGGTTAAAATTTAAGGCAAGGAACTAAGAAGTTCAACTTCATCAA